TCCAGTGTAGGCTCTGTTACACATCGAGCTCCTTCTGTATGTGGCAGATGGGAACATCCCCCCGATGTTTATAGTAAATTAACTATCGAGATGAAGCTTCCTCTTTCTACCTCCCTTACTGACAGCACTTATCATGCAAACTGCTGATGTCCACTTTGATTTAAGTGTCTGATTTGCATTATATGGATTGACCAATTTTTAGTTGTCGCTTGCAGGAGACTCGTCCTAAGCTTGTTAGAAATGGTGCAAAAAATTTTTCCAACCACATCCCCCTTGGAACCACTTTGAATGATTACCTATATTCACTATACTGTATGTATAGTACATGTATGGCTCTGAGTTATGAATTGCTTATCTTTTGGTTATTTTGCTTCTTTTTCAATTAGCAGGCAAGGTTGTACCCAGCACAATGACATTTTAAATATGTATTCAATGTTTTTAATTGAATAGTAATTATTTATTGTAATAGTTCAAAAACCCCTTTTTCCCCTGAGGCTTGTGATTTAAAAATGACAATTGACTGCTGTAACATAAGATGTTCTAAACTATGATGTAAATCAAAGGGATATTGGAGTGATCAGTTATGTTTTGGTGTGATTTAAGCTTTGAAACACTGCATTAACATTTTAATGGCACATTTTCAGTGCTCTCTATTATTTTCTTCTATAAATAATAAAAGTGGTTTTACATATAAAAGGTAGGCACATATTGTCTTTGGTTATTAGTAGTACTTAGGCATTTACAAATGTACAGTGGGATTCCTGCTGTGCTGTTTTTAATGCTTGCGTAGTTTATTTTACTGTGAGCTGGTATTAAAAAGAAGAAAATAATAGTTAAAATTGCTGGAAATTATTTCTTTAATAGGTAAACAAGTTGTCAGATATGCATGATATCCTTATTGCTTTTCACCAACCTTTTAATAACCTTTTAATAAGGTAAATACTTTAATAAAGTATTTCAATGTCTGGTTCTATACCATGATGGCAAAGGAACAAAATTAAAATAGAATTCCTGGAGGCCAGAGTTAATCCTCTATGTCTGACCTATGATTTCAAATTTATTTACATACAATCCATCCATCTATATTCCTCTGCTTGGCCGTCAGAGTGAGTCTGATGCTTACCTCCAGCAGTATACCCTGGACAGGATGACAGTCCATCACAGGGAAGAGACAAACAACCATGCATGTACTCATAGCTAAGGGCCATTTAGAGACCCCAATTAACCTAACAGTAACGTTTTTGTACTGTGAGAGGAAGCCAAACAGAACCCACGCTTGCATGGGGAGACAATGCCAACTCCATGCATTTGAAGTCTTTTCCCTTAACAGCATGGATATATCCCAAATTTGTAGAATAAAGTTTGTAAAAATGTTGTCTGCTAGACTCCTTCCGCCGTGCTTGTTCCCTGTTTTATTCAGAGGAAATGATGCGTTTGTGTGTTCATGTGTTTGTATCACAGAAGGAAAAAAAATGCGTATTTTCTATTATATCACTACAGAACCAGTCAGCCAGTCAGTTGAGTTTGTTTGTTAACTTCAAGTGCTAACTTCTGAACTATACCTATTTACCAATTTTGTATAAAGATGTCTGTTAACATAAGTGTGTAACATTTACAGCTGGCTAATTAATATATGAGAATGGAATGACATACTTTGTTTGTGACTCTCTTTTTTCAATCTAATGGACATTTAACAGTCTTGAAGTTGCAGTTTTATGCACACTCTATGAGTGCCACCAAGTGGTCGAAAAAGTATGAGCTGATTTTATTAAAATCTATTCTAGGAGGCGTTGGCCTGCCATGTCGGCCATTCCATGCATTGAATATGCCAGTTATACTTAATAATATGTTTTTCATACAAAATCGGTGGCAAAAACATAACAATATTGTACTATTTATTGCAAAGAGAAAAACAAAAAAACATATTGAATGACAAAATGAAAATGTGTGTATTTTGTTTAGCATATTTTTGTGGTTGATCACAAGTCATAGGTAACCCGACTCCTTCATAATAAAATAAGGTACTCCAAATTTGCTATTATCCAGCATGGTTTTAAAGGAGAAATGAAAACAAATCAGCAAGTTTAGGTTTCCTGGAAAAGCGTATTGAAGCATTTCCTCATAACTTAAAAGGGAAAAAGTAATGACAGTCAATGTCACTATACCAATGACGTTTTTATAAAAATGCTCCCATAGCAGATTCCAACTGATTGAAATTCCATAGCATACATACTTGGATCACCATCTAAATCAGCATGCTGAGATTTACTTGAAATTGTTGAATGATTCTGCCATATTAGTGCTACACTCATGTATAAACGCACATTAAAACCACTGCCACAGAATCAACACAAATGTGACTCCAGTATCACAAGATCTGATAATATTATTAAATATCTTCTTGTTATGCTATGTAGACTTTACCCACATTAGGAGGGTTAAAACAGAAGGCATCACCTGATGTGATTGATTTAGCTAACAATTATCTGACATCTATGGGGGGCATCACTGAGTAATGAGATGTTTTTCTTGGGTGATCAGCTGGCAATTTGAACTGGAAAAAAAAGACAGTAACCTAACCTAAAGGCTGCTAGAAGAGATAACATCAAAGGAGTCATGTAAACTTTAAAAGCACAATTCTTTTCACATTTAGACAAAGGACATCTTTTTTTTAAGTGTAAGATACACGGCAAGATATATTGGAAACGTGTATAGTGTGACAATATTTTGTATTTTAGCCATCAATTGTCTGCAAATGTACCAGAGGATGTACTTGAAAACTTTTCTCTGAACTTTCTTATTATTTTGTCAGTTTCTACATTTTTTGCCATGCCTCCGGTTTCAATAGAACATCTTTATCCTCCAAAATATTTCCCCCCACTTTTTACAGTTTAGTTTATATAAGTTTAAATTTTATTTTAGTTTGGAAAGTGAAGTCATTTGATAAGTTTGCAATAAAAAGAGACTTCCATCTTCATCCCGATGAGCTTACAGAGCAACAAAAAAAACACACCCACACACACACAAAAACATTGCCACTCACATGCATACATGCAAGCACAAAAACACACACACACACATGCATTACACTGCTGACCTTTTCATGTTTCTATTCCCATGACCGTCCTGCATATAAACTATATATGGGGATAAGTCAAGCAGACCTGACTTATTGTCTGCAGTATAAACCTGTATGACCAGAACCAGGTGAGTCTGTTCTTTGTCTTGTTCTCATTTAAACTGGTGACTGCCTAATATTAATTCAACATTTAAAACATATATAATATGTAACATATATAATACACTGATTGTCATTTAAAATATTTCTATTTTACTGCTACTATTAGCCAAAAAGAAAAACAAACAAAAAAAGGATCTGTAAACTTTTACATTGTAATACTTATTGTCATAGATTACAGTGTGGTGTGAAAGTGTTTTTCAAAATGTAAATGCTGTGTTATTAACATTAACAACTTTTCAGTAAAAAACAAAAATAATAATTTAAATAAAGCAAAAAATTGCTGTCATCTCTGAAGATGGGCTTCAGTGAATTTGTTTAAAATGACGACCTGGATGATTACTGGATGAGAATTACACTAAAACCAGATAAGAAACACTATACCTAAACAACTTTAGATTATTAATTAATCTATATTGAAGAATGATTGTATTCTTTTTGGTCATACAATGCATATTATTTGCTCACAGTTTAACTGCTATATGTTTCTGATTAAGAAAATAAGAAAATAATTTATTCATTTTTAACATTCACCTGTTGAACATTTCTCTGCAGTTTGGCACACAATATCAGATGATTTATAAGCCCTCTAAATACTGGTATGAATACTACTACAACCGTCAGTCGGGACCCGCTCTACATAGCCATCATCAAGAATGTGATCACTGTCGTCCTCTCTCTTGCTATCATCTACATTAATGGAACTCTGGTTCACACATTCAGAAAGCATCAGGTACAAATTTTGTCCATCATACAAAATATCTGCTGTGCTTTCCGTATAATAGCTGTGTTGCTATAAAAAGTTAAAGGTAAAAAGTACAATAGCGTGAAGTTGGGAAACTATTTCAAAAACATTTCTATGTGTTATTCTCAAAGTTTTTAAAGGAATTTTTTTTCAAAGAAATAAAAAAAATAAAAAAATAGGGAATGAGACTCAAACTGTGTTTATTCATACAATTATACGTCTACAGGTAAAAACAATTTTTTTTCAACTAGCTGCAAAATAACTGTTTTAAATTTCTGCTGTCTTTTTGGTCTGGCAAAATCTTTTTAAGAACTTTTTTTTAAGAAATTTTTCATACAACACATTAATTAAAAGCATGTGATTGTACAACTGGGGA